GCCCCTTCTTACGGGCCTAAACCCCCTTCCTGCCGACTTACCACAAATACCTAGGCGACGAGACACTAAAACACACCGCACCGAACCCACACACCGCACCCTGTGCTGGGCCTGTTTCCCGTCTACCGCTTGGCCTCACACCTTGCAGGCCTTATCTTTTGTCGTACAGTCTAATTCCAGTGCAACGTTCTTCAAGGGGCGTTTTCAAGATCCCAACACCTACATCGCAATACCGTTACAGGTGCGGTTAGTACGGCGGTGAAGCAACTAACCGTGGTGAGAAATTTCTGGACTTCATCCTGACAACCATAAAAAGCCATAACAAACTCCCAACCTTCAACTGCCATGGCCCACTGTTGTTGTACAGGTGGCGGTTGAGGCGCAGATGGCCCGTCTGGCGACTAGAGGTAATGACGGGGGGAGCAAGAGGGACTGGGGGAGGTCTGCATATGTGTGTGTATGTGTGTACGTGTATGTGTTCGTACACCTCCTGGCTCGTACACCCCCTGGAAGGATGGTCTCTATGGAAGGAAGGAAACATGACGGCGGAGGGGATGTGTCTCGTAAACAAGAGGCGGTGCTCCGAAACCTGAACCTCGTCGAAATGGCGGGCTCGGAAAAAGAAAACAAAAGGAAAGGGGGCTTTATGTTTAGGACCTGAAAACGCAATTAAGACAACGTGCAAAACCCCGGATCTGCTCCTCTCCCCCCCTGCCTTGTTAGATACATACGTCTGTGTGGCGTATCATATCTTTTCTTGGCGTCAGTTTCACACGTTGACGTGGTTCGTGTTCGTGTTCGTGTTCCCCTCCTCGACTTCCACTCGTATTTCAGGTAGTGTCTGCCTCAACCTCGTCTGTGGTTCGTCTGCACCGACCCGGTACTCACCCTTCCATTTCCCCCCAAATCCCGAATACACAAATTCCCCGACAACTTCAAAAATCGTGTGTGTTTTTGAGCCCTCAACCCTCACCCCTTTCCCCCCCTCACCCCCCCCCCTTCTCTCCCGCGTCGTTTCCGTGCACCCGGCCCCCGACAAAAACCCTTCCCTTCCCTGGATCGACGACGGCACGCCACTACGGCCGTCAACAACCCCTTCTCCTCCTCCGCCTCCTCCTCCTCCGCCGCCTCCTCCTCCTTCTCCTTCTCCTCCTTCTCCACCTCCGTCTCCTCTTCTCCTTCTCCTTCTCCTCCTCCTCTTCTACTTCTACTTCTTCTCCCACCTCCACACAAGACCACTCCTTGCCGTGGTCCGTGTCGTTGGCCAACTTCCCCCATCCCTCCATGGCCACAACGTCCGCTGTGGGTCGATTCGCGCCCACCTTCCTACTGGCGTCCGTGGTCATCAACTTCGTGGTCCTGTTGACGAACATGGTGGGGCAGGGACAGAGTGAAGCGCATGATGCGCATATGCGTATATCTACCTCTACCTTTTAAATAATATGCCGCTGTTCACAAGTCGTGTGTCTTAATGTGTCTGCGCTCCATACTTTTTTTTGACTTCTTATGCACGGCGAAAACCTCACCTAACCTCAACTAATTTCACCAACTACTTTTCTCCAAAACGCTAAGATTGTCCCCGCACCCCCCCCCCTTGTTCTCCGACGCCGCCTTCTCTTTGGGGCATCTGCAATCACTTCCTTGGATTTCAATGCATATTATCCTCCTAACCGCTAACCGCTAACCGCCAACCGCCAACCGCCAACCCCCCTCAGGTGGCTGAGCGGGAGACCGGCACCCGCGGTGCTCTCTCGGCCATGGGGCTGAGGGACAGTGCACACTGGGTGAGCGGAGCTGGGGTTGACGGTTGGGAGTTGGGGGTTAGTGGAAGGGTCACGTGCAATGAAATGTCCTCCGGTGCGAACTTATTAGCAGAGCGGGGTGGTTGGTCTTTTCGTTTCTGTTGATCCACAGTGTCTGATGGGGCCAACTCCCCCCAACCTCTTAACCAACTCTTCAACTACCCAACCACCAAAGCACCTATTGTCGTACCTGTGGACCGTGTCCTGCGTTGACACTAATACTTTAGTGATGATGCTGGTGATGGTGTTGATCACACTAACCCGTAGTGGGACATCACACAACCCCCACCTGCCCCAGGTGAGCTGGGTGGTTCCGGAGCTGCTGCTGACGTGTGCGCACAGTGCCGTACTGATGGGTGCGCTGGTGGCAATGCGGTTTCCCCTGGCGCTCCGAAACAGTCTGTCGCTGCTTTTCCTGCTGCTATGGGGCAGGTGAGCGACACGGGGAGGACCATGACGG